TCACCGAAATATGATTTTCATATTTTAAAAATCGGCTTTCTGAAAGAAGTTACTCAACTACCATACAGGAAGAATTCTATTAGTGATAGCATGCCAACAACGCCTGTTACGACCACACCTAATACCATTCCTCCAACGCCAGACGCTGCATCAAACAATGCCAATGCGACAAACGGTCAGAATGCGATTAATCAATTTTTTCGCTAAAGCCTTCCCGAGAATTGGTTATGTCCAATTGGATAAACTTCAACAAAGAGGAATACAAGCATATAAAGACACACAGTGTCAGCTAGCGAGGATTGGTGATGGGGTTACGCAAGAGGCACAAGAAATCTTCGATGCGTTAAGTAAAACGTAAGTGGAATAAAAGAAGATAAGTGGGGGAATGAAACTTAAGGACAAAATTAGATTGTGGTTTTAATCTTAAGAGATTGGCGAGTGAGCGATTCAAATTCACGGGAGACGGAGACTATCAACTGTAATACTAATATTTTGAATACCACTTAACTTTTTCAATGCAATCGTTTTACACTACTTTAACTATCGCATCTTTCAATAACAACATCCAAATCATCTTACCTGACTACTTTTCACCGTCATCATTACACACATCCTCTCGTTCTACGTTCAGACTACCGTGCCGATGGGCTAAGGATACCATTGTGGTTCTCGATGAAGTGGCTATTACTCCTCCATACAACGTTGAGAATTGTAGGGCTAATTCAAATGCTGCTGGGTCACTAGAACGTGTTAAGAAAGTGGTATGTGTGTGGGGTGATGCAGAGAGATTGTACAAACAATTTTACTTTGTAAGATGAATATTTAGTATTCTATTTTCCTCTGAATTAGTTGGAAGGTGAAAAACGACGATTGGCGAGTGTTCGTCGGCAGGGATCGGCGGCGTCTGTATGACCATATCTCTAATGAATATGGGTGTGCTTGTGAATGTGAATTTTACTCCCAATCTCGTCGGTAGATCGTTCATAACAGTCATCATTGAATTCGAATTATAATTCTTATACAATGATATCAACTAGAATCACCTCGAATCATTCCCTCTCCCTCTGCTAAATAAGAGGGTTTTCATCAAATGACAAGAACAATAATACTGTTGAATCTGATTTAGAGCTATTTGTAATTTAAGCTTTATTTGTCGAGTTTCTTAATGATTTTTATCCTCAGCTGGATGCCGAGGTATTTCACCCGGTCATGTGATTGAAGAAATAAAGAGCTTCGTGCCATTCTTCGAAATGTGACTTTTATTATAATTTTACGAACTCTTTGTCACTAAATCATACGATAATTAGCCAAGATAGACGACTTGGGTGATATAATAAGATCACGCAATAAATGTTTTCAACACGATTATTTTTCTCGTGTTGAAAGAGATAAAAGTTAGATATACAAGTGTGAACTACTGATGTTGGTTAAATTTGCTGCCTGATCGCATGTTTTTTTGCTTGCGTATTTTATGACAGTTAGCCTCACAATATTCAAATTCTCGATATACAAAAGGATATTGACAGAAAATAATAACAAATCCCGTTGCGCATGTGGCTGGGGACGACGATGTCACACTCATCCGTTCGGTAATTGGTCAATAAATTTTGCGGGTGTGATAGAACTTATTTCATGTGATGATAATAATATAATAATAATAAATCAGTTTATTTATAATAATACTTGAACTCGGTTCAATGTTTTTTTCAAATTTTCAGCAAACTACCTACCCGTTCTATACTATCGCTCTCCATCAGTTTATTAATAGTAATATTTTCTACTCGAGCTGAACATTATGATTTCTATTTGTGGACTTCCTTATACCTGGAGCTTCCCATTCAATATAATCTGTAGCACACTCAATTTAATGAATCCTTCACAAATCAATTTTGTGGTATGTAATTGGCTTTGAGATTTCAATCGTGCATTTTAGAGGAGGATTGTTTGCGATATACCATTCAGCTGCTCGGCCAAAAAAACCGAAACAGTATTACCGTCGTTATTGTAAGGATTTGGTTTTCGTGCAAGAAATTTTTGTAGCAAATATTACGCAACGTAACTTCAAATTTAGAAACAAAGTATTTCTTGCTGCAAAACGCAACACAATTTTCAACAAAAAATTGATAAATTTATTTTACGATTCTTAATATACGTTTCTTTGCAATAAATATTATCGTTTTTGTTTTTATATCATTCTCTTTGTGTGAGATAATTAAACGCGACAGGAGCTTATTATTATAAGTATCAATGCTAAACAGTTACTGAGTCAAAATACTGCACAATCATTTGCATCAACTTGTTTGTGTTTTACATAAGCGAGATTTATCAAGAACAAAATTAATTATGACGAAACAACTTTATTATAATAATAATTCTTTGCATGACATGGCAAATATAACGACAAGGGGGTTCGTGCGTTTATTAGTAGTAATCGTGTCACTCACATGACTGGAAATTTTTCGGGTATTCGTATTTTGCTTCACTATAGAACATATATTAACTCGAGTATGCATTAAAAGTTCGAAACAGTAAGATTGAATCATATCGGCTCAAATTTTGACTTTGGGAGACTACTCAAATCACGAGTTATGTGAAGGAAAAAAAGTAGCCTTACCTTAAATTACGCGGTAGTTATTGCAAAGACCGTATTATTACCAAAGAAAAAAAAACGTGTAACGGGAATTCCGTATGAAAACTTATGTATTGCAAATGTACCAACAAGTCAATAAATATTATGTAATCGAACAAGTTTTCGTTTATTGCCAAAATGTGAACAGTATAATACGTAGCTTGACAATATTAATATCACTTATGCAACTTGAGAAATTTTTTAAAATTAACTTCGTACTGGTTGAGTTGTCAATTCTGCGACAGACAAAATATGAAGCATGGGCTTTTTTCAGCTTGGCACATAGTCTCCATTGAAGAGATAATCGCTAACAAACTCAACCATCAGTTTATTACATTAGTATGGATTTCACTAAACTGGTCAGCAATCGATGCATATGAGAGATAATATTACTGAATTTAGGATAATTATTCAACACTGAATTAATGTAAGAATTAACTTGCATGTTAAGAGAGTGTTACCCGATTCTAACAATACTGTGACCAGAGGATAACGTTCTCCAGAATTATTTATTTGCGTGCGGAATCAACGGGTCAAATTGGTCTAGACAAGGATCGATGTCGATTAGTACATATCGAGAGCAAGCGAATTATTATCATCGTGCCATACACGAACATAGATAAAGTGATGGCGAGAACTCATCATCACGAATGCAAAAATCTCACTTGCACGAATTCGCAGTCAATGCAAATTTGATATCATCAAGTTTAGCCGATATAATAATAAAAACAATCTCGTAGTTATTCTGAATGCGCCGAATGCATAAACTGATCAAATCTATATGAATCACGTATAGTAATAAATTGGTAAATTTAAACGGGGTCCAATCTTTTAGCCACCGTAAAATATCAATCTATGTTCGATGGTTACAGTAAAAAATGCTACATGGTATTCTCTGTCCTCCTGTGATCGTACGAGTCATACTTGGGTATCTCCGTATCGAGATTGTCACATTAGCATCAGTAATTAGAAAAGTATAACTTCCGGTTACATAAATTAGGTGATGACACCACAATCTTCAAACATTAATATTAATATTAAAATCCGTGATTGTAACCTAAACGTATCTTTTTGTCCGACATATGTATTAATCGTATTGGTGTATAGGGTTTTGTCTCACACTAAACTACCAATGTGCAGCCTCGTAATTTGAGGACGAATTTCTATGCCCTAAGATAGCTATATTAAGTGGGCGTTGCTCTAGTTTTACTACTACGTTTCAAATGTTCTTTATAGTGTGCATTCGTTACTAAGCAGCATTGTTGTGCTCATTCATAGAGTGTGGAATGTGATATTAAAGAGATACTGTTGTTTTCAATACAAATGCTCTTGTTATTATAAAATGTGGCATTCTTATTATAATTTTGGGATTAATAAATCTTCATGTACTGAATCAATATTAATATGGTCACAACCACATATTAATATTACTGATCTACTATTATTACTAATGTTACATGTTGATGTATAGATCTAGAAGGCATTGTGGCCTTATAATTATCACCATCAGTTATGATATTTATAATATTATTCTGTTGCTAATTTATTTGAAAAAGGGAAAATTTAATACGAATAAGTGAGATCCTGCATTCTACCTTCTAAAAAAACTTCATCCATCATCATATACTAATACAGAACCAGGTTTCAGCATCCGATAATAACCTTTTTTGCATTTTCACCGCGTATTTGTTGCAGTGATGATTACTTAAAAATTATTATGAATATCACACTCAATAAAGACCGTTCTTCTTGTATGAACATTATCCGAAAATCACAAGTGCGATTTTTTGCGGTTGACACAGAGCGATTTCGTACTTTTTACTTTTTCACTTCACATTACTTTTACACACAACGTTAAAACCAACTGCCCAGTGAGAGAAGAGAAAACCTTATTATAGTGCAATGTATTAAAAGTTGCCTTTGCTATAATTTAGTAAACATCAATCAATTGCAGGGGGTGGAATTTAAGTCTGGGATGCGAACGTTTACGTTGTGAGGAGATGAATTTGATTCTCTATGATACGAACTTTTTCCCTGAATAAAGAAATAATTAAAAATTATAATTTGTAATAATTAGGTTAAGAATTACAGTAAGACTTACCAACAAACTATAAAAGGTCGAGATGACAATTATTAGCTTTAAAATTTGCATCTTTAGTAGGTAATAACATCCTTCCTATTTGCTTGAAACTATATAGTCCGTCAAATGCAAGACCCATGCTAAACAGTTCGACTTGACATCGTGTTATATTTATGTTTAATCAGTGGGCCGAGGTTGGCTCAGCTAAACTTTAGTAAAATTCGGATAACGATAATCTAACCTTTAACGAAGCATCCAAACGTTTCTGAACATGGAGAATACCTAAACCATTTAATCTAGTGATTCTTTCATGAATTCGGCAAGTTTGATCAAAGTGTGGTTTACGACACTATTTGAGGCACGACGAGGCTTTATTTCTCCAAAAAGCACTCTGAAATCTCGTTTCCACCCTTGCTGGTTGTCATCGGATTTTCGTCGTTCCTTCGAGCTACTAGATTCTCCGTCTGCCCTGATTTCACAGATCTCAAACATTCGTGGTATAATGTTTAGTATAAAACATAAGATTTTCTTTCTTACCACAAGAGTTTGTAATTCGTTGTATTGAAGATTTTCTCTAACATTAAGTGATAGTATCTATGGACAAAAGTATCTTCTCCATAGTATTATTGCTGGTGTTGCTTGATGATACATTCAGAATACAAAGATAATCATGAGCATATACAGTGTGTTACAAAATTATTCGGAATTTTTTACGCGTGACATAAACACGTCTAGCGCGCTGTGTACGCATGCAA